ACCCTAATACTACTATCCTGTTTTCAGTAGTTCATGAGTTATTAATTAGTATTAATTACTTTCTTTAGTAAGAGATATTTGATAATCATATAAATAGTGAATGATGATTGCTTAGAATATAGACATATATGTATATATTACTGAAATGCTCATAAAAGTAAATAGATTAACCTGCTAATACCAATATCGATCACGGTTACATAATTATACAATCAATAAAATTGTTACCTACTTTGATTAACTAATGAATATAGACAAATGAACCAGAAAAATTTGTTAGGTTAGTTTTTAGTCTTTCAGTGTTGTGTATTTGTCTAAGAGTTTAATTCTAATTTCGATAAATGGATTACTATTCTTTTCTTTTGTTTGTTTTCAGAATCATTCAACAATGTAGTATTCAATTAATTACTATGCAATGTTAAGATGTGGTATGTTCATTTCTTATATTAGTCAATTTTAAGCTTATGTACTTGAATTAAGAAGGGAAACTATAGTCTATCATCTCAGCTGAACCATGAAATGCAGGAATCAGTCAGTCAGTTACAACGTAGGACCAGGCACATATATGCATCGGTCCAAGTTGCCATACCTCGTTAGCACAACAAGATGAACACTGGATTCATAGAAGTAGTTAATTTGGTGGTGGTAGTATATAAATTATAGGTTGTATATAAGGATATAGTATAAGAAGGAAAAAAGTTATGAAGCAATTTTAATCTCAAGGTTTAAGGGAAGATAAAGAGTGTATACACCTATGCCATTGTGACCGATTCTGAGCCATGTCACCTAGAGTCTCCAACCATTGGTTACGATAGTCACTCGGACCCCAACGAAGTCTGCATCTGCCAACATGGCTCAGACTAGAAGTCAGTGACTTCAATCACTGATGCCATGTTTTGGTTTGGCCGCCCCTAATTCTCTTTCGACCATCCCCAACATTAGTCAGCAATGCGCGTCGTGGTAATCGGTGTTCAGGCATTCAGGTGTTCACACGTGGCCTAACCATCTCAGTCGATGCAGGAATATTCTTCAGAATAAGGAGGTGATAGGCTAAGATACAAGAGGGATGTTATGGGCATGTATTTAAATCTCATTTGAAAGTCGAATTGTAGGTGCAAAATTATAAACGGGGGACTCTACTGGAGGTAGTCAATTATGCACCAATTTAAGGTCTTAGCCTACACATTCTTATTGAAGTCAAAAGAATAATGGAATACAATTGAAATTTGGTCTGAAAATTAAACCAGCCACCTCACTCTTTAGTTTCCTTACTTATATAGTGTGTTTATGTAGCGCCAGATGTATATATCGTAACTGAATGGGACTAAAGAACATTATGTCCGGATAAATTGATCAAACTGAACTAGGTGAAATGAAGTCTTAACCTTCGGATTAATAGATAAACTACCATTCCTGTGTTCATCTCCTAATAGAGTCATGGATGGGTTCAACTAGAAGAGTCTCAAATAACTGTCTGTTGTTTCATAGATTCTAATTGTTGTCTAACTAAACTCGGTCTCTGATTTGAATTTTCTTATCAAATGATCTCCACAATACTCCCATAATAAAGATTATTGTTATTGCTGAGAATGTTAGATCTCCAAAACTCACTTGGTAAATGCTTTATGTTTGTAATTCTATTTTAAAAATTTGAATTTCTCGTTTCCGCTCCAAAAGCATCCATTTTCACCTTCATATCGTATTTCCCACTTGGGAGGATTTTAAACGCTATTGCAACGTTGTATCTTTTAGTATGCTAATTTGTAACGCTTCGCAACGACATTTTTATGCTGTATATATACGCTTGAATTGTGCTTATTGTTGTTGTTTGTACTTCTGGCTGCTTGTGGAATATATTTCCCTCTTCTGAACTTGGACTTCTTTCTTTGGTTAGCGGGGCTGGGACGTATAGGAATAGTTAGCTGATTTAATTATCATGTCACCGAGTCTTTGTTTGGTTTACAGATTAGGTGAACTCATAATCTCTTAAAACATAGCAGTTATTCATAGATATACTTAATAATATAGCTTCTTACTTTGCTATTCATCTATCGATATACATGAGAATATCACATTAATATAGTTAAATTAAAGTAAATCAAAATAAAAAGAATTCATATCACTCTGACAGTATGTTCCCCCCTATTCACAGCCACATTTGACCAAATCTTGTACAAATGTTATTTTCTATTTTTATTGGTACGATGTGGTCAGTTAGTTTGGTATATAAACCCAGTATGTTTGAGAAAAATGATTCATATTGCAGAAGCTGTTGTTGGTGTTCTGGACTTAACTGACTGGGCTAGGCAGAAAGAAGGACTGATAATTTCTCAAGACTGCTCATACGCGTTTCGTGTATCATTGCTCTGATCGATAATTCACTTCTCTCTGATTGGCAGGGATCATCACGTTCATATATCAACTGGGCACTCACTCAATTGACTAAAATAACTGCTCTCTAATTGGCAGTATTATCATTTCATATATTAAACAGGGTACGCATGCACGCATATCATTCAGACAATCGATATAACAACTGACGGTCTCATCATATTAAACAGGGCACGCAGGCAATCGATATAACAGTTTCCAAATTATCACTAATCATAGTGATACGATATAAAATTACTTTCTGAAGATAGTGTTTTGATTTCATGTTCAAATGTTCGATTACATTATGTGCATATGAATATTGTTAGGGGGTTGGAAGTAGTCAAAAGGAAATCCTGATATTTGACAATCATCAACGATGCATATTTGCAATCTTGAAGAAATTGATACTTCTTTTTGAACTGGAGCTCATAGAAGCATAACAATGGAGGTATTCAGGTAGTGACTAAGATATTTACTGAGTAGTGGCTAGTGTTATGTTTGTCTAATGTTTTGCCGCTTATCGAGTTCTATCAATGTAGTTCCAGGTTCCCTCAAGATTGCACGTACCCCTTACCGACGACTATCAACTTGTACAAGACTTAGATCCACATTTTCCTACAGACAAACTGCAACCGCTTAACATATCAATAAAATGAACATGATCTCAAGTTCCTTAAGCTAGTGGTTAAATTTTTACGTTGAGCTATAGGATTTGATTCACATTAAAGGACCAAATATATGTAAAGATTTGTGTCGTGCTGATGATTTTTAGTTGAGAGATCCGGGCCTAAGTCAGAATTCATCCTGGTTAGATTATTAGCCGTTGCGCAATACTAGTCATGAGACTAGTGTATTTAACAATTCCGAGTTAAATACAAGGAATAAGACTGTTTTTTTTATCTGTTTCTAACTTGAGTAAGAAGTTCAAGTTTGTCTCGAAACTTTTCTTGATAGTGATCCTCAGGATAATTGGATTATATCCAAGTATGTTCGAATTGTATAATAAGCGACCTACTGATTATTAATTTCGGAATTTTATCAAACTTAACAATAGTCGTAGTGGATTCGTCAATGCGATGAAAAACGATTGAAAAATAAATAATTAAATGTATGGTTTTTAAAGTTGAAATAATGAGTCAATTGAAGCTAGACCATCATGAAAAACCTGGAATCACTGGACGGCCGTTTTATCTTATTGCTGGACTCCTCGGCACTACGTAACCACGATCCTACCTCGCGAGATTCGAATCCAGGATTATAATTAGTGAACTGAATTTCATCTGAACTAATTGATACAACGAAAATGTATTGATAGTCAACTAAATGAAAATTATTTTTAAATGAAGTTCAGTTTTCTTCCCGATATGTTGTATTTTGAGATTTAAAAATCTAAAGCATGATATCTTTGAGTAGAAGTAACAATCGTTAGTGTTATTGTAGTACTCATTCTGTATAAATAATTGAATCAAATTACTTACTATTAGTAAGTAGTATATCTCAAAACAAAAAAGAAGTATATCCAAGACGATAAACATTATCGTAGATTAAATTTAGGATAAAATGTAGACCGGTGGGTTTCGACTTTGTTCTCTTTAAATATGTCGTACTCTCTGAATGACTAGGAAGACAATGGAACACATTTTCACATGTACATTTATTGTGAGTACACATTGCTTGATTACGTGCCTATGAATACGAAATAGACTCAACTGATTGAAATGCTAGTCGAGAATTGACATATCACTTGTTCTTACTCATATGCCGTTTGAACGTTAGATAGTGGATAGGAAGCTATGAATAAAACCAACTACTGGAGGAATTCGGCCAAAAGCTAATTGAATGTTTCAGTCTAAATGCTTTTGTCAGAGAGTGACAATTGTGTATATTAGTATTTTGTGGATTTGTGGAGGTTGTAGTATATTAACAGTTCAAATCATGAACTGTTCTTAGCTAGACCACCATTGGAAACCTGGGAGCATTAGATAAGCGTTTCTTCTTAGTGTTAGGCTACTCGGTGGTGAGTAATAACAACCTCGCACCTCGGATTCACAGCCACGATCTTTGGTCTTTCGTGATGTATATTCCCCATGTTATATACTGTCTACAATGGATAACTGTTTTACATCCTATATAAGTGGACCTCACTAGTTATAACTGCTAAGTAGAATCACTCCTAACAATTATAAGCGTCCTAAAAACTACGAAAACTGTGTCTGTTGTAGATATAGCCCTTTTCAAAATTGAATTCTTCACAAAAGATCGAAAGTAGTTAACTCAAATTTGATTAACTTTTTCATGGAAGCACTGGACGGCCGTTTCGTCTCATTGCGGGACTCTTTAGGAGTGTGCATCCACGATCCCGCCACGCGAGATTCGAACCTAGGACCTATCAGTTTCGAGCGCGAGCCCTTAACCGATAGATTACTGAGCCGGCATCCAACAGCGATATCGTTGGTGTGCGCTTCTGAGGAGTCCCATAATGAGACGAAACGGCCTTCAAGGGCTTCCAGGTTTTCCATGATGATCTAGTTTCAATTGACTCATGATTTCAACTATGAAAATACTAAATTCTCCACAAAACCCCTTTTGATCATTACAACCTATAAATAGTAACATTAAAAACAAAATAAACAAATAAACCATTTTCTTATTCAATTAAAAGTTCAAAAAAAAATTTACAATCAAGCCAAGAAAAAAGAGAAAAACAAACAAAGAAAATAAAATAAAATTACACAACAGTTCAATATGTCATATTGAACAACAACAATAATAATGATCTGAACAAAGAAATTAACGGATCAATGATGATCTGAAAATCAATAAAGTCCCTTCTTTGATGATGATAATGTTGATGATGATGATTTGGATGATGATTTGGATGATGATTACTATTATTATTAATCTTCAGATCCTCCACTAATTTCAGATAGATTATCATTTGGATCAACACCATATTCTTGTAATTCATCTTTATTTGGTTTAATACATTTATTATTATTATTATAATATGATTGAATTTTTATTTGTTTTATTGTTTTATTTAAATAATCTAATATATTTGTATGTGGCATATGTATTTTATAACCTAAATTATCATAATTTAATAAAAATAATTTTTGATTTGATTGTTGTTGTTGTTGTTGCTGGGGGTGGTGTTGTTGCTGGGGGTGTTGTTGTTGTTGTTGTTGTTGTTGTTGAGTATATTGTTGTTGTCGTTGAATTAATGGTTTTATATAATTATTAATATATTCATTAGTACCACGTGGATCATGTAATTGATTTTTATTATTTAATTTAGGGGGTTCCCAAAATTTTAATTGATTTTCTGTGATATTATTTTTATTTAATTTTATTTCATTTAATAACCAATCAACTGTATCTATGGTAAACATTTCATTAAATATTTTTATAATTTTTTCTTTTCTTAATAATTTCACTTTTTTTACTGTATTTGGATCAATAAATACTTTAATTGCTTTCCATATACCATGAAAAAATGTACTATGATTAATAAGGATAAATTTATATAATGTTTCTGGATAACAATCAGCAAATGTCTGGACAAATTTTTTACCAATTTTAGGATTACAACATGCTACAGTTAAACCTAAGGGGATAAAGAAAAAAAACAAAAAATTAATTAATCAATAAAAAGTTGATCTGATTACATAATAAGTAAATATGATGTTAATTATCAGAAGGGGTTTTGTAGAGAATTAGTATTTTTCATAGTAGAAAGCATGAGTCAATTGAAGCTAGATCACCATCATGGAAAACCTGGAAACACTGGACGGTCATTTCGTCCTATTATGGGACTCCTCAGTAGCAGTGCACATCCACGAACCCTCTCTCGCGAGCGAGACTCGAACCCAGGATCTACCAGTCTCAAGCCGAATCCCTTAACCGATAGACCACCAAACCGGCATCTAACTGTGTTAATGTCCCATAATAGGACGAAACGACCGTCCAGTGTTTCCAGGTTTTCCATGGCGATCTAGCTTCAATTGACTCATGCTTTCTACTATGAAATATGATGTTGTGTTGTTTTATATAGTTAAAACTAGATCACCATGGAAAATCTGGAAGCACTGGATAGCCGTTTTGTCCTATTATGAAACTCCTTAATAGTGCGTATCCATGATCCCGGTTCACAAGATTCGAACTCAGGACATATTGGTCTCGCTCATGAACGTTTAACCTTCAGACCATTGAAAAACACGGCGTACAACGGTGTTAATGTCTAACTTCAACCAATCTACGAATTGAGCGACACATCCACCATCGTTTTCAGTGAGTTACTGTCTCACAACAGACCTGACTGAACTCCACTGGTTACTGCTTTTCATTAGAAATCCAGGAAATACCTCTTGGAGCCAGTCACTACTGACTCATGATTTCAACTATTAAATTACTAAAATCTCCACAAAACCCTATTCTCAAAATGAATTTTAATTTGATAATCATTGATTTAAGTTAGATAATTAATATCCTTGATACTATTACGAGTTCACCTTAGTCGATAAATGGAATGAAGGTCAAAGATACAGTAACACAATAGTTTATTCTGGTCCGTTGTCCCCGGCCCTGCTAACTACATCAAAAAGTCTTGATGATGCGTAGAAGAATATATTCTACAAACACTTAGAAAATATGAAGTCAATAAGCACACAAATCAACCTTATTTATACAATGACAGAAACGCCCTCAGGAGAGACACAAAATAATGTATTAAAAAGTCAATGGTTTAGATAGTCACTAACTTATGGGACGGATATGGAGTTTATTGTGATTCTTATTGCATTAAAGTTGTTTTTTTTAAAAAAAAAGCGTATTATATTTAAGTAGTACATTATAATCTTACCTGTACAATCAATAATAAATACCAATGTATTCACTGAAGTTTGTATACTTCGTCTTGCATGTTCAATAAGATAAACCATATGACAAACAACATCATCTGGATTATTTTTCAATGTTTGACATTGAGCAAAACAAGCATACATCAATGGTCTACCTTCACGATCGAATCCAACTTGTCGCTGATTAAAACAATGGAAGTGAATAAGAAAAATAAAAATAAATAAAACGATATAAGATTTCAAAGGATTCACTTTATTTAGATCCATGAAAGTGTTTGGAAGACTTCAATTTATTCAGTTTCTTCTCTTATTTGTTAATAAGCCAGTCTACAGTGAATATTTTCCAATCTATATTTCCCCATAGATTGCCCAGGACAGAGTCCGATGGAGGATGCCGATGGAAGGCCTATGCTCCTCCACGAGGGGTAACATGCGTAGTAAGTAAGTAAGTAAATAATATTTCGGAACGTAGATTGTATTAAAGCATGTTTCATGCATGATGGTGTTGCTGCGCGCTGATTGGCTAATTCTAAACCGATCAGCCCGGGCAAATTATTTGAGAAAAATCTAGAAGCTTCTTATGTATATACTATAAATATATGAACGTTATTCAAATCAGTGATTCCTGTTCAACGTGTTCTGATTTTGGGGTATTGTTGAGTGTCATTGTATAAGAATACTAAGCAATATGAATAGCTGGGTCGTTTATTAGCAAAAATACAATTATAACACCCATTGACTTATCCTGTTATCTTATTCGTTATTAAGGTTATATGTAGAGGTCATATATATTACTATATGTAGATTTGGTTTTGTTTGAGTTTCTGACTTCTCAGTTTCTTTGATTAAATAAGGAGACTATTGTTAAAGTGTCATTTACTAGTTGTTTAGATCATAAAATTTGCCTACATCCTGTTTCGTATCAAAATAATCTCCGAATTGTTTTTAATTCGGAATAAGCATAGGGTATATATCAACAGAATATAAAAATACTCTGTTTGGTGTTAATTATCAGTAGTGTCTTATTTGAAACTTATCCCAGTTGGATGTACCTATTTGCTTCCAGCGTTGATGTTCATACTGAGGTTTTAACTCAGCTGACGAATTTAGATATCAATCAACTTGTTGATATACTTAGCATAATCATTAACTCCGATTTAAATAAAGACTTTATCTGCTTAATATGAACATTGGTGATGGTATTCTTCATAACTATAAACATAATAATCCAGCACAAACAGTCTTCTCTAGAGCCTATTGCGAAGTATATAAACAAACGACAATAATAACTCACAACTGAATGAAATCCTGGTGTTTCATGACACCATTTACATTGAATTGTCAATGGTTGATATTCTCTACGCCATTCTACAGCTGTTTTCAACTGTTTAAAAGCATCTTCAACAACATAATTTCTTGCCACAAGAAATCGAGTTATTCTATAATTAATTGGAGAAAAAAAAGAGTAAAAAATAGATATCAGGTGTATGAAGTAGATTATAGTTTTCTTGATTGAAAGAATTCAATCAGGATAATTGATGTGAACAGAGAAACAAGAAGCCTGAACAAACTACGGAAGCTAATTTTGGGAACGTTATTTCATTTAATTCGAAGCTTGTAAAACTGTAACAATTACTTTTATCCCTAGTATATTCTACAAATCATAAGCTTTCGTTTGATATATGATTCACTGCCATAGCCTTTTCTGTCCCAAAGCTGTTGTCATTAAGATGTAATCTTTTGTACCCTATTTTCTACTCTAATCCCCCAGTTTTGGACATAATTGTATTTTCCTAATTATTGTACGTTGTGGTTAGGTTAGTCATCTATTTATTCATGTATCTTTTTACACGATCGCTAGATCAGGATTGAAATAAAGCGAGTAGTGTTCCAGTTGTCTTCTCTATAGCGCGTGCTTATCAGCTAATCAGGGATAGAATTGTTTTCGTCTCTCTACTCCCACTTCGAACTCACGCATACTAGCCTCAAGGTTAAGTCAGTCAACCTATCGTGTCAAGGTCTTAATCTACATTAGACAAGTTATACTCAGCACGAAAGTTGGTCGACAAATTCATGGACGTAACAATAATACGATAATGATTCCCATTAGGTAACTGACTTGAGTAAAAAAATGTTACCCGACAAGAAATTGATTATAACCCAAAGAGATTAGCGATAGTGTATGTGAGTGTAATGTTAGAGGTCAAAGGCCGAAATCTCGACAGGAAGAATCCTCTAATCATGATAAAGCTAATGTCCTGATCATTTAACGGTAACAGTATTGAGATTTAATGTTAGAAAATAATACAATTTTTTAAAATGATTATACAATTGATTAACAAAAGAAAGAACAAATAATCTGGAGTGCGATTATGTCCATTGTTTGGGAATCCTTGTATAGTTATTACTAACATGCTCCTGTTACCTCTCTTATGGAAGTGCATAGGCCTCCTACAAGCATTCTCCACCCAACTATGTCCTAGGCGATCCTTTAAAGTTCTTTCCAGTTTATATTCGTCTTTTTCATGACTGATTCCAATTATTAACGCAGTGTGTTCTTTGGTCTTACACTTTTCCGTTTAACCTCAAGATTCCAAGTAAGCACTTGCCTCGTGATGCAGTTTGATGATTTCCTCAATATATGTCCAACTCACCACTTCCATCGTCTTTTCTTAATTTCCTGTTCAACTGGAAGCTGATTTGTTCTCTCACATTGTAGGCTGTTGTTTACGGTATCCTGTAAAGGAACACTGAGTGTCTTGCATAGACAACTGTTTATTATTACTTGTACCTTTTCAATGATGGTTATGGTAGTTCTCAAAGTTTCAGCTTCGTATAGTAGAGCAGTCTTGATGTTCGTATTGAAGATTGTGACTTTGATATCGGTTGACAGTTGTTTTGAGTTGCATATATTCTCCAACTATAGGAATGCTGTCCTTGATTTACTAGTCTTCGCTTATACGTTTGCATCAGATCTTCTTTATTCATCGATGATGCTTCCCAGGTACGTGAAAGATTCCACCTGTTCCAGAGCTTCTCCATCAAATGTGATTGGATTGGTGTTCTCTGTGTTTTATTTGGGGATGTTATTTTTTCCTTTGTGTATGTTATGGTTTACTGCTGCTACGCTGTTTATCTTGACCTACATTTGTTGATATGTATGGGATAGTAGAGCTAGATCATGCGTGAAGTCCAAATCTTCTAGTTGATTCTGAGATGTCCATTGTATTCTGTGCTTTCCCTTAGATGTGGAGGTCTTCATGGTCCAGTCAACCATCAGAAGAAAGAGAAAGGGTGTGAGTGAGCAACCTTATCTGACTCCGGACCTCACCTGGAATGCAGCTGTCTACTGTCTTCTCATATTAATTATTAGGTGTAGTAAATTGTATAGGATTATTATTGATATTGGATGTTTGAAGGGATTATTTAATTTGTGGCTGATATCAGTAAGTAAAACCAAACAGTCAACGGGAGCTAGCGAGCGTTGAACAGATATTCTATTCTAACATAGTACTTCTCAATAGTGGTTAACTAACACTCCTCTAATGAACTTAGTAAGTTTACACCTAGTGCATTACACTTATTTGGTATTGTTTATTTGAATCTTCCAATTGATGTTTAGAACTGCAATCAATCATTCTATTCCTGGAGTGAACATCAACTCTGGGGTGCACGTCCATCCAGCTGACGAGTCCCAAATAGCATGAGTCGCGCGTCCTGGATTCTACTACTGGCTACCATCTATCTTTGCTTATATTGCTAGTGAGTTACGGTTTACCACTAGATAACCAAATCATTATTAAAACATTTTTTTGGATTTATTGACAAACTGACTGAACTATTTAAACAATCCACTTGGTATTGCTTAGTTGAATTATCCCATTGATGTTTAGCACTGCAATTGATCAGTCAGTTTTTTGAGATATGTGCATCCTGTGAGAATTGCCTCGATATTGCCTTAATTTTTAAGCATTAAAAACAAAGTTGGATATTATTATAAGCAAAAATGGATAATGACTAGCAGTGGAATTCAGGAAGGGCATTTCATCCTATTTGGGACTCGTTAGCTAGCTCTACCTGCTTATAATACTTGTAAATTAAGGCTGTATCAAAGCAATACGTACAGTATTCACATACGACTAATAAGAGACTGACCAGTTACAGTCCTAAACAACAATGGGAAGATATAAACAAACAATACTAAGTGAATTTAAATATGGATAGTTCATAGCAATGGAATCCATCAATGGAATGATTCAAGTAAACAATACAACAAGTGAATTTAAAAACAAGAACAATCAAAATGAACAACATAAACTTACGTATCATCACATGTTGCAAAATCCGGTTCATTTGGTAAAGGAGTTAGATTTGATTTAGCTAATTGATATAGTTCTGTTTTAAGATTTATTATTTGTTCTGATGTTAATTCATTTTTAGAAGATTTTCTTAATGACGATGGTTTTGACATATTCTTTTTGTTCATTTTATGATTATTGTTAGTCTTTTACTGATGATTGTATCTCCTTACAAGTGGAAGTGGAAACTGAAGTACAGTTTGAAATCTGTAACAGAACATAAAACATTTTAATATCAGAGTTACTTTCCAAGTTAAAGAAACAAATGATGAATGGATATGTTGAATAATTTCAATGGATTGGCTTACATTTCTATCGTAATGCAGGAGAATTATTGTTCATCAATTTGTTTAGGACTATAACTGGTCAGTCTCTAATTGGCATATATGCATTGCACAAGCAAGTGGCTATTAGGACTCAGTAGCTGAGTGGCGTTTGAAGCGAAAGGTGCTGGGTTCGAGTTCAAGATTGAACATCTATTGTGAGATACAGGTACATCCAGCTGACGAGTCCCAAATAGGACGAAACGCGCTTCAAACTGGATTTCACTGCTAGCCATTATCGATCTTTACTCCCAGTACATAATGTCTCATTTGTTTGTGTTTTAAACTTATTCTGCTCATAAGTAGTACAATTCTTTTCATTAAATATTATTGGATCATCATGAAAATCATTTAGCGATGTGAATCAACATAATCTGAACATCACAAGCACCCTGACAGTTTAATTTTCCCTTCTTAAGCTTAGAGTATTAAAATAGTAATCTGCCACTAAGTGAAAAAAATATAATTTTGAAATATCTAAATATACGTTTAAAGATCGCCATCATATTAAAAGACTAATATTGGAACAATTTTTAAAGATCCATCTGCTCTCTTAGTTAAGAGGACGTCCAAAAAGGCTATTCGGCCATCAATCTCTTCTTCCGATGTAAACAGAATGGTTAGATGCACTTCGTTAAACTGCCTAAGAACGTCTTGCTGTGATATATTATCTTTACACAGGATGAAAGTGTCATCCATATTATCTACAGTAAAGTTTGAACTTTTGAATAATCTTTTTCTTAGTGGACTGTTCTCTAGTTTAACTAGAAATATGTCAGCTAGTATAGGGCTCAGATATTAGTCATCTAAATATACGTTGAGTGTAATCATATAGTCTGTTGGTGGAAATGATCCTCAAGAACATCTAATCTGCGTATACAATTGACTCGAGAATGATCTGAATGAGAATTTTAATGTACAGAAATTTCCTCTAGGCCTTACATAAGCTATTTTCATATCTTCGGGCTTGACTAACATCACAAACTCTCAGTTAACTCAGTTGGTAATGTACAGTTTCTCAGATTACGCTTTATTCAGTACTCTGTTAACAAGGTGAAGTATTAGTTTGATGGAAAAGTGATTGGTAACCATATTTCAAAACATGTTCACATGAAGTGAAAATCTCCGCGAAAATTCAGCTGGATTGCAAAATTAATATACTTCAATAACTTTATTTCCTGAGTATCTTTTCATCATATATCATTCTATCGATGCCCCACACTTTATGTTTATTTATTTAAACACAAATATTGGTATAAGGAAGCACCAGATATATATGCGCCACACAAATCAAATGAGATTTGTGTGAGGACTGTGATACTGCCCAGGTGCCCAAACTGAGGAAGGTGGTTTTCTTACGGGGTTACACCCCGAGCCTTTGACCCAAAGGTCTGATCCACAAGGCAGTGAAGCATCGTGAGGAGATGCAGTCCCATGGAAGCAGGTGACCGACGATTGGTTCATAAGCCATTTGTTCCTTCAGGATACTGGAGTCAATGTGCATCATTGATTTTGAATCAGAGTTTTCCAACTCCCCTAGGTGAAGTTTCGGTTTCCACCAACCCGGTTAAAGCACCGTACATTCGCTTTTCGTCCTCTCAATTTCGTAAACAACGATTTGCCACGAGAAGGCAATGAGTAGGACTTCCGCAGAAGTGGCTGTATATACGTGGCCATGTGAGAGCATTTTGAGAGGGAGACCGAACTCTTCCCACTCTCGGTCGTACCACGGTATTCGGGGACTTTATGTAATCTTGATGATGACATGTTTAAATGATAAAAGTTTCATTTCAGTATTAGTTCCGGTCTAGAAATTATAAATAATGTTACTTTATGAGGTAATAAGTTAATCAATTAATTGACCATACAATTCACATAAATGCTATTTACTATAATTTTTGCAAACAACGGAAGTCGTTAGAAGAAAAAAATCGGTATTGGGATAATTCATTTGTCCCTGTATCTTTACTTTGATAATCATCATAGTGAAGATTAATTTAATACCCTGGTAAGTCAATTGTCTAAATAACAGTTCTATCTACATTAGTATTCCCTCTTAAAATGAATTTCTTCAAGAGTAAGTGAAATGTATTTATGTCAGTCAAGTTTGGATAGACTAGAATTCGAAAATGCAACCTAAGACACTTTAATTCAATGATGAGGAAGTATATTGTGGTTACCTGAAGACCTGAAAATTGTACGTCAATGACGTCCATTGACTTGATTACTATATAAAAATTGCTATATCTACTTTAAAATTGCAAACTTAGTGACTTCTTTACTTCTCCATGTTTTGAGCCTTTATGGTGGCCATCAAGCTGATGTTAGTTCTCAAAAATGTGTAAATCACTTCAACTTATACAGCTAAGCAATACTAAAAATAGAGCTGTCGTTGGTGAGTAGGTAATTATCAAGTGGAATTATTAAAGCATTTCATTCAAATCATGAGTCAATCTAGGCTAGGCCATCATAGAAAACCTGGAAGCATTGAAAGACCACTTCATCCTAGTATGTGACTCCTCAGCAGAGAGCATCAACGCAAAAATTGGTCGTGAAGTTAAATGAACTAACAACCTTGGATTCCGGCTCTTAGATTCAAAGTTTAGGCGTTTTCGCGAAAGACTTAAGGTCCGTGGTTCGTTCTCAGAGTGAGGGATCGTGGACACACATTAGCGCATTTCTGAACAGTCCCATAATAGGAAGAGACGGCCGTCCAGTGCTTCAATGTTTCCAATGATGATCTTACATAGATTGATTGATGATTTCAATGAAATCCAACAATCTTCACAACCCCATATTGACTATTAAATAATCTCCTTATTAACCTCGAAAAAGGGATTATAAAAATTATCATTGTTATTACATTGAACTAATTAGAGTAGTGCTTGAACTTGTAAAGTGATAGTTAAAAGTTAACTTTTTCTGAACTGCTAAACCAGCTTTACAGACAGTCTTGTAGAAGTACTCTACTACTTCAAACACAATATAGATATCAGAAGGGGTTTTTGTGGAGATTTAGTATTTTCATAGTTGAAAATGTGAGTCAATCGAAGGTAGACCACTATGGAAAACCTATAAGCACTGGACGGCCATTTCGTTCTATTGTGGGACTCCTCAGCAGTGCGTATCCATGACCTCGCCTCGCAAGATTCGAACTCAGGACTTATCAGTCTTGTGGACACTCATTGCTGAGGAGTCCCACAATAGGACGAAACGGTCATCCAGTGCTTCCAGGTTTTCCATGGTGGTCCAGCTTCAATTGATTCACGCTTTCAACTATGATAATATAGATACATTATTTTCAAACTAGCAATTCTTATTCTTAATCTATCTACCAGCACGTGTAATTGTTATTACCACTTGACTTAAACTTTAACTGGATTCTTTTTAAAGGTCACATATTTGTTCTTTTCTTTTTTTGAATAAACATTCTGTTCAATATAAGAAGTACAAGTATATGTCAAGTATAGTTAGACTAGACAACATAAAGGTCAATTATTTATGTATAGGAATAGGTGATATTATGAATATGATGAATTTTCTCTGAAAAAAAAGACATTCCATAGAAACATATATAAGATGACCTTGATAGATTGAATTAAGTATGGACGTCTCATTCTTAGTAGTGTTATCAAAACTTGTAGTTTTGAGTCTCGAGATAATGTTAAGTAGACAACCATTGGAAATCCGATAACTCCAAGTACCTATCTTGGCATAGTTTGAGACTCCTTAGTATTCTGCTTTTGTGACTCTATATCCGAGATTAAAACTCAGAACCTTCAGTCCCATGCACGAACTTTTATGTTCCAGATCATTGAGATAGTATCCAACAGCGTTAATGACCAACTGCAATCAATTCATGGTATCGAGTGACCATTTTCCACTACTTGTTGTGTTTGAACTCCACTGACCAACGCTTCTCAATAGGACTTCAGGTGTGATATCTTGAAGATGTATCCTAGTGAGTTCGGTAGTCTAGATGTTAATCGTTAATGGGTAGGACCGGAGGTTCTGGATGGTCATGGATACGTCCTGCTAAAGGGTCCCATACTAGTACAAAACCACTGTCCAGGGCTTCCAGGTTTCCAATAGTAATCAAGCTGAAATCATTTAGTGATTTATAACTACGAAAATTCTACAATCTACACAAATCACTCTATACTGAAGAAAATCATGATAATTTCTGTTCTTCATTTATCGATTCAAAATATTATAGGAACTGATAATAAATTTTAAATGACCATAGTATATTCAAGAATTAGTCTCGAATTCATGCGTCACTCATTGATGACTAGATTCAAGATGGATTTCTTGGATTTCTAGTGAGAGACCGTGACCAGTGAAGTTCGATCAGTATCTGTTGTGAGACAGTTATCCATCTCAGATGATGGATGAAAGGTTATACAACATCATGGATCTATTGAAGTTAGACATTACCACTGGTCGGATGCCGGCTCAGTAGTCTAGAGTTGAGCGTTCGCACGCGAGACCGAAGGTCCTGGGTTCGAGGGATGCGTATGTGGGCTTGACATAGTACCAGCCAGTACATACATGTTTCTGGAATAAAATATGTCTTCATTTGGAGAAGATAAATTACTAATTCTATGGTACTTATCCCTAACTTAGTTTTACAGGACTCCAAACAGAAGCTTATTCAAGATCCTGGAACATCATCATAAGTAAGTATGTATAAAACTCATATCATCAATGACATTTAAAGTAGAATTTAGTTAAGTTGGTTACAAGTTAAACAATATTATGCGTTCAGCATAATTCGATTATAGTTAGTAGTGAAATCTTGAATAAGCCTTTCATGATATTTGGAATTTGTTAGATGAATTTAGCTGAAAATTAGTTTTCATGTTCACATTGACATTCAAATTG